AGTGAAATGTATATAATTCTGCTTAACAGAGCTGTTTAAACAAATACATGGGTGCGAATAGCTTTTCTGACCAAACTGGTGTGGAACATGTGACCACAGACAGGGAAGAACCTCTCAGTGGGATGAGCTTTCCTGACTTTATGCATTACATAGTCTTGCCGGAATACAGGCTAAGGACAAGTCTGTTTGCAGGATGAGGGCTATCTCACTGTGGTTTTCATGTCTCATTCTGAAAAAAACGTGTGTGTGACCCTTCCTTAAGCCTGTAACAGTCAACACATAATTTGTTTAGGTGCAAATGGATTTTACTGACCTTTTTACTCTGTTTTTGTAGTGCCTCATTTGGAAAGGGGAAATTGGGAGGAAGAGAAAATCTGTTCCCTTTTATCTTTGCCCCAAAAGGCTGCTTCTGTTGTTCAAAGTGAGGATGCAGTGCTCTCCATGTGTTTGTGCTTAGACTTTGCAGAAAGTGGGATATACTGTATGCCAGGAAAAAAAAAAACAGCGCAACCCCAAGTGACTTTCGGATACCAAATTATTTGCCCATTAAATACAGTTAGACTGTGAAACACTGGGAAATTGAGATGACAAATTGCACGAGCCCATCTTGAATAACCAGTTATAGGGAAAATATCTGTCCTGCCTTGTTTGACCATCACCAGCCCAGGCTTTTCAGCAGTAATGGCTAATAACCATTCACCAGCCCAGGAGGTGGTATTAAGAATTTCACTTGATTAATTAGTCAAAGCACAACCAAATCTATCCTTGTCTCAGTTGTCACATTCTCCCTATACCATATTGTCTACATAAGGAGGATAAAGTTTCCTAAGTGGGAATAGTGGATCACTTCGGTTTTTTAGTATTTAATATAGACTTGCATAATCTTTGCTTGGGACCCTTCAGAGCTACTTCAACAGAAATACCAACACCACAAACTGCCAGTGGGTTGAAGCGAGCCTGGACCTGGGTGGGCATCCGTGTCACGCTGCCTCCAGTGCAGGTGGCACTTCAGGCTCCCGGAGGGGTCCCTGCCCTCTCCCAGCCATGCTCAGTGCCTCCTCGCAGGGAGACACAGTGTCTCCACCTCTCATCCTTACATTGCAATGCTGGGGATGTCATCACCATTCCTCTGAGTGGGCTGGAAATCTCCTGCGTGATGTCAGCTGAATTCTTTTTAATTAAAATAAACAGGCTACTACTACCCTTATCACATTCCTCTTTCCTTCACCTTGTGTGCCACTCCCATTTTCAGTTTCTCCATTTTGCACTCTCATGCAAGTTCATGCGGATTCTGTAGCCATTTGTCCCTTCTCAGCCTCCCATGCAACCACCTCTCCCCTGCTGCAGTGTGTCTGCTGCAGCACCTGCTGCCTCCTCTCTTGCTCTCCCTCCACTGGTACCTTTCCTGGTCACTGTCCTTTTGTGGGTGACTCAAGTGGCTAGCCCCAATGCTGTCCCTCCTTGCAGATCCCTTACGCAACAAAAGGAAACCACCACAATAGCTTTGTTGATCTAAACAGTAACTGCAGGACTGTAGAAAGTGGTTTTCATTCTAGTGAAAACTGGTCTTTGAAAAGTCCCTGACTGCTGGCACAGCTCTGAATAGCAAAAGCATCTTTAGAGTAATTTCCCTGAAATTATCAGCTTTGAACATCTTTGTTTGGAGTGGGGTGGTGGGAGTGGTGATTACTGCACTGCAGCCACAGTAACAGTCTTGAGACTCCCCTCCCTGACCCTCAATAAATATTTATCTCTGTGAAAGTAAAGACCACTCACTCAAGAAAGCTTCCTATTGACGCTTGGCAAGTCAGACACAGCTTCCTCAAATCAGAGAGGGCAAATGCAGACACAGCATGCTAAGAGCAGGATATACCAGTCTCCTCTCTGTGGCAGCATCAGTATGTGTCACAGGGAAGTACACGCCAAACTGGATTAGGCTGCAGTCCACCTATCTGGTGCAATAATCTTGTCTCTGATAGTGGCCAGAGGCTCCAAGGAGGACAAAACCTTAGTGGGTAATGTGCTTTTCATCCTGCTCTGTAATAGCAGCTATAACACTGCCCTCCCTTCTAAAATTCAAGGGCCACTTACTCCTTTGGAAAAAAGTAAATAAATTAAGGGACCATCTTGTACTAAGGCACTGCAAACTCTTTTTGATTTTGCAACCAAAATATTTTTTTCTAATTTTTACCTGTTCATTTACCTCTTTCATTTCCCCCCTATTTTGTTTGCTTGCTTGCTTAAAGGCATACACTTACAGTTTTACACTTCTTTTTTTCTCTTCTTTCCTTCTTTCTTGCTAGCGAATACATTTGCACTGAAAGATTAGGGCCTTCTGTTGCCTAAAAGTTCTTTCAGTGTTAACTGCAACTCCTCCCAGTAGCCGTGTTTTCTCTTTAATGTGTCTTCATGGCACACACATCTGAACTCCAAAGCATTAATTTGACTGAGTAGACTGAGAAATGCCAGAGTTGGACTAACATAAATTCACAACTGTTGTCCAAGCAGGAAACTATATTTTGTATGGAAGCCTGAACAGCTCACACATGCATGACACTTTTGTCATCAACCACCTGATTTATGAGAATCCAGAAAACTCCTTACTGCTTTCACAACAATCTGAAAAGGTGCGTTCTTGGAACTAGGAATGTATTACTGTGATTCCCATTTCACATGTGGATTCAAGCAGCACATTAGAGGCCAGATTTTCATCTAACCAGGGTGCTTCATTCTGCCTTGCAATTGCCTCCCCTCCTTGTAGCATTGCTTGTTCTGATTGTGTGTTGAAGTGCCCTTGCAATGAAGAGAACTGGAAATTTTTCTTCCACATGGCCTGATTTCTGCGCATGGTCATGACATTCCCACAGATTGCTCATGCAGTTGCAAATTTAAACCTAAAAATGTGTATGCAATTGAGCTGCTTGATGTTATATGGAAAAAATGTAGTAGAACTAGAAAGAAAAAACAAATCCTAAGCCTTGCACAGCACCTTTTTATACTGATATGAAAAGAATTCACTTGGATGTAGTCAGTAACACACTCATCCGTCCATTGAATAAACAAAGATAGGCTCTCACCTGATATCAGTATAAGACCCAAAACTGCTGTACCTGATACCAAGACCCAGAATTGCTGTGACAGAAAACTCTTGATAAAATCACAAGCTGATTAGTGGTTAGCTATTTGGTTTTGCTTTTCAAGTTTTATTGGAAGGGTCAAGGGATTTTGGCCAACATTTAACCAAGATAAAGGCCATAGGTTCTGAAAAATATATTATATTAATAAAAATCAGAAAATAAATAGAAAGAAATGGAATAAAAAAGAACAGGTGATAAGTCATCTCTCCCTGGGCCAGGAAATTAAAACATCCAAGAGTATAACCCCCACATAGATGAAGGACCTCCATGTGGGTCACTTGGGGAGGGTGGGAGAGGGTCCCTGGAGCCCAGGCCTGGTAAGAGTAACATCAGACACCCTCTGAAACAAAACTAGCCAAGGCCAGGCTGCTACTGCCACAGAGGCAGGGAGACGTTTTAGTCTCCCACCTTCCTCCCACTGCATACTAGTTGTTGAACTGTGCTGCTGGCTGCATTTTAAGTCTAGAAATGCAGCTCTCTTCTAGCTTCCCAAACAAATCACTGCCTAGGAAATGGTAACTGGAATGGTGCCCACACCACAGTGGGGGAGACAAAAGGGAGATGCTTTATGGGCAGATCAGAATGACTTTAGTGTACTAAAACCACTACTGCATAAATTTAGGACTGCTCAGGTCCTAAAATAAATAAAATAAAATCCTCCTACACCCATTCATCAGAGCAGGGGCTTGAGGCAGCTGAGCTTTGCATCCACAAAAACTCACAAGTTCCTGGAACAGAAAAAGTCACTTAAAGGCCAAATACCCTGTGGCATACTGGTGTGCCCCTGCCAGGGTGAAGACTAGCTATACTGCTAATGAGACCCCACAGGAAGGGAATGCCCTGCTCAGTAGTTTTTAGTTATAGGGCTGAAATGGAGTATTCTCCTAAATTTCTCTCACATAGATCCTCTGTAGGTGTGTGTCTGTGCATTTCTCTCAGCCCAGGCCTGTAAATTCCTGTCAGTTTACAAGAAAGGGATTGTCCACTGGGAGGCAGGATACAGGGCACATTCCTGTGTCCAAATAAAAGTGGACTTATAGGTCCACAGCACATTTTTGTTCTATTATTCACCTTAAGGCTTAAAAAACTTCTCATACACCTGTGCAATGTCTTTGTCAATAGGAGGAAATACCCAGATGCTTTTTATTTTACTTAGGAGAAGCATAGATGTCTGACAATTTCACCTGTTCTAGAAAAGCTATTCAGATTTTTTGGTGAAAAATGTAATGCCTAGGACAGCTACCCATTTATCGAAGTAGTATTTCATTAACTTTTGTAAGAATGCATTACACATAATTAAGGTAATAGGTAGAGATTATTTTTTAGCTTACTAATGAAATAAGCATAATTATTTACTTTTGTGTAATGACAAATAGATCCAGTAATTCAGATTATATGCTTCGAAATAACGTGGTTTTACAAAATTAGCTACAGGATAGCCTTTGAAAGATGAATGTGCTTCAGTAGCAAGTTCAAAATGTCAGGTTTTACTCTCTTTTCTGTGAAATGTTTTTATCATAGAACAAAGTTTCTCATAACTTTTCTTTTAAAAATAGTTCTTCCTTAACAGGGGGGAAAAAAGGGAGGGGGAAAGAGATTTACAATGCCAAGCTTGTAGAGAGAGAATTTACTAGCACACACCTGTGCATGTTTTTTGTATAATATTCAGGAAGTTGCTGGTTCAGAAAACATACTATTGCTTCACTAAATTGTACATAATTATTCCTCCTCATTTTGACAACCAATTATAATAACTGCAACAAACATTCACACCTCACCCTTCTCCCACTGTCTCTTCTGCACATGTGCAACCAAGGAAGTCAGAGCCAAAGTAAATATGTTTTAGACAGTTTTATCAAGGGCATTACAAAGCATTTCAAAAGAGGCTGATGTAAGCAACAAGGAGCATGGAAAAAAGCCTGTTTTCTCAAGCTGCATTCTAAAAGCAAAAAGGTAACTTCAAAATCTGCTGCCTGATTTGCATTTGTTTTTTATTCTCCTACAGAGAAAGCATGTCTCAGGCACTAGTGGTCGTACCGCCTGGCATCTCTTTTATTGTCTTTAGTGTAGGGCAATACTGGGTCAAACAGCATGTGTGTGTAACTTGGCACAGCTCAGAAGAAGATGAGCCAACTCATGCCAGCTCACTACTTGGCTCTGCACATACAAGTAAGAATGAAATGCACATTAAGCCCTAATCCTCTTTGGGATAAGACTCAGATTTGATTTTTCTTTATGCATCTTGGTGGAGAATTGTTCCAACTGCTCATCAAAGGGCCCTAGTCAAGCCTTTGACACAGTAACATCCTCCAGTTGATGCCCAGGGCCAAGCTCTTTTAAAGGGTCATGGATTTCCTTATATTAAATTACACACAACAATGCCTTGTCCTTGGAAAGAAGATGCGGAGAGTATTGCCTTTTTCTACTAGAGAGAGGAGAAGGATTTTAAAAAAGAAGACAAAACACATTACTACCTGATGCTGAAATTAATGTTTATTAAAGATCTTCAGTTGGTAACTCAAGGTGCAAAGTTTTCTATTCATCCACAGGGCCAATACAGCATCACTTTTGCATCAAGCAGTATGGCATCGATAATGGCTTAATTCCCCTGTTCATAAGCATGACCATGACAGCGCTATCATACTCTGACAATTTGGGCATGCGTGTGCATGTGTGTATATATGCCATATATCCACACATTAGCTAGAAGGATAATCTCGGAGCATAAGCAACACAGCTCTGATCTAAGAAAACAAACAAGCACCTGCCTAACTGAAGAGAACCTTCCCAGCACAAGCTGGAAGTTTTGGTTATGTGTGTCCTTAATTTATTTGCTCTATTAGCTCCTATTATACTACTCTCTGACAGATCCACAGAGAACAATATTGTCTACTTCATTTTGGCTGAAACTATGTATCCCACAAAAGCAGTCCTGCTGGAGTATGCTTTCCACTGCTATCCTCCCCCAATACACATGCAGTTTTCTCCAAAGCAAAAGGCACACACGTACATTTCTGCACATGTGATTTAAAAGCTTGTGTAACTCATGGGTATGATTATGGAAATATTCAAAAGAAAGAACTTTCTCACCATAAAACTATCATACTGAGAGACTCACAATGGGCTGAGAGAGCATGAATGTGTGAAGCTGCTTCACATGAAGTGTTCTCTAAATGCAATTTAGGTTCTAAGTCTCAAGGCCTACAAAATCGCGATGACAAAAGCAGACACTCAAATTCCAAACAGTATTTGCACAAGTTTCCACAGTTTCATTTTGAAATAAGCTAAGGTGATGTCTTGGAAATGGCATACAAGACTGACTTTGGCAAATTGGAACTCTAATCTAGAAAGCAACGAATTTTTCCAAAGCACCCTGGATGGGCTTCCACTGATGTTTTCTGAGACTCTTAAAGAGACTGCCTACATTTTGGATTGCTGGATTAATGCTTTTTGGACAAGTCATTATTATTTTTAGGTTCATATATTATTCACAAGAGAACATCAGCTTTAATTTATCATAAGTGCAAGCAGAGGTTGGTGAGGTATCAGCTTCTTGGGAGCAGAATGAAATATTAGGGGATGGTTAGAGACCAAATTCCTTAAAGCAAGAATGACAGCTCAAAGTGATGCCTTCTATGCTTCCTTAGCAGTTGAGAGTAATACACTCCTCAAACTGGAATGTTCTTTGAAATGCTGTGGTAAGTGACACAAGGCAGCTGGGCTGCACACAGCACAGATGGGTGGAGAGGCTGAGAACATTTGGATTTGGGTAGTGAGATGTCATCTCACAAGGTATGATGCAAACCCATTCAAATGGGATAAGGCATATACTGAACAAACTAAGGAACAGTTGAGAAAAGACTGGTATAGCAGTCATGCCTAGCATATCCAGATTTGTGGAAGTGAACCAAGTTGGGGTGTGCTACAGGCTAATCTATGAATAATTACTTCTATAAAGTATTTGGGTTCAGATGATCTTTAATTCTTGAATGATCTTCAGAAATTGCTTCTTGCCCAAATTATGAATAGATATTAATTATAACAACACCTTATACTATAATTATAGTGTGCTTTTTATTCCAACAGATCCTTAGGCCTTTTACAGCATATGCATATTTAATTTTTGCTCACCTCAGGGCTGTACACAACACTTAATAAAGAGAAGGGCCTGTATTAGCTATTAACAAAGGTAATCAGACCTCTTTTCTCATTCCTCACCACTTCTCTAGCTTCTTTACCTCTCCTGCAATCACTGCCTGGTGGAAGCAACGGGGATGGAAAGGGGAATTGCAACAGGGAATATGGGAAAATAACAAGCTCTTGTCATCAAAGCCAATGACAATGTCTCTGACAGTGACCACAGAAGCATTAACTAAATAAAAATAAAAAGCATGAGTATTTTAGAAGATAATTATATGATTGCAAAGTTAATGTGTGATTTCTATACTAAAATTATACTTCAAAGAATATTTGGGATGATGCTCTTGATATAACCATCTGCATCTTGGGTATAGCCACCTGGGAATTCAGGGTAACTGTTTCAAAGTAATACCCCATTAATGTAACTAGTTGCACTGAACCTTCTAGAAACAGAGGCATGGGATACGGCGTATGTTTTTGTAAGTATCTTTGTACTACTTTGGCTATAGAGACAATAACAATAAAACCCTTATGACAGCACACAGTCACTTAGCATGTCAAAAAGACAGCAATGAGATTAAGACTCTGGATTTTGAAATTAAGGTTGAACCTGATGACTCAAATAATGCACAATAACAATTATAATATTACACTATTAATTTTTCCCAATCAGAAATCACTCATAATATTGAACAGTTAATCCTTCTGTCATTGAAAGGAAACATTCTTGCCTTTGAAGTGTGAACAACTCTGTCTCTAAATATTTCCAACTTCAATACTCACTATTATGCTTGAAGATTCTAATAGTAGCACCTGAAAGCCTCGCACCAAGAACGAGAGAAGTGTGGTTCAACTCATCACTTAAAATGAGGCAGCCCTGTGGAGAAGGAGTACAATAAGCATCTGCATGATCTCGGAGGCTGTTGACATGCACGCATGTGTGTGTCAGCATACACATGTCTATGATATAGCATTGCATCAATTGAGCTGTAAGCATTAAACATGAACTGGATTTTCTGCCACTTTTCTGAAGGTGCCAGGACCCACTGCAAAGGTAAGTAGAAACTATGGGATCAGATTCTCAGGCATTCCCAGGTGGTGCAAAGGGGCCAAATATTTCTTGTAATGGGAAAATGGTGAATAACCCTAACAGAGATTGAATACTTTATAGTAAAATCAAGTGATGTCACTTCCTCTATCCCCTGTCCACAATCTATTTTGTATTGCAAGGAAAATGCAGTCACTACCCCATATATAAATGCTGCATGACAGTAATGTAAGGAAGAGTAATACTTAGGCTGGATGGGCATCAGCACTTTGGGCTGCAGAAATGAGATCAGGACAGATTGATGCCTCACAAATCCCACTTCTATTAAGATGCGAGTGGAGCCCAGACATCAGAAAGAGTCTTTCTCTGGTAAATGCATATATAGTTCACCTGTAGTATGTTTTTCATTAATTAACTCAGTTGAGAACTGATTTTATTTTTAGAAACTAAAGTAGAAATGCAGGAGAAATAATTTTGTATATTATATTAACAGGAGCCAGGATTCACAGTTGAAATTCAAGCTGGAACCATAATTTAGCTCTGCTTTCTATTACATATCTTATGCTGTGGTTTCATTACCCAAAGGACAATACAACATTACGTAAACACTTATTTTGGCAACACAGATTATGCCTAAATTGAGAGGTACTCACACAGATCTGCCTAAAGACTGGTAAGCAGAAATAACGATAAGAGTATATGCATCTTGACAAGAAAATGTAGCTGCTAGGCTTAATTATAGAGGAAAATTTAGGAATAAATCTTCACAACATAGGGCAATTACATAATAACTGTAATATATATAATATATTATAATAGTAATATATACTAAGCTGTTATAGGTACATTCTATATAATACATAGAATAATATCTTTATATGTGCTACTTATATCTAAATATCCCACCTGACAGAGGCCTGAGTCTCCACATGAGGCCAGCTAAGTGAGGGAAAACTATTTTATAGCTAAGCAAGGGACAAGTGTCTTATGCTGTTATGTATGTCTGCAATTTCATAAATTTACCTTTATTGATTCTCTGTTATTTTATCTGTTCCCTTTGAAATTGCTGGACAACTTCTCCAGCACCATTGCAGATTGATGTTCATGTTCTGAGCAGCTGAAGCAATTCTCCCTGCCCAAACCCTGCATACATGTATTCTAGAAATCTCTTGCAAAAGCTGGATTATCTTCACCGGTGAGTGAAGAAGTGACTTCACCTCTAGGCTGGTGCTTCAGAAGAAATCTTGCTCATACACCACACAGTGAGTTCATTCCACCTCCACCAAGAGGGAAATACTGTTTCACACTTGCATAACACACTTCATACCATTTCACACTTTCATGAACTAAAGAGGATCTACCCACTTTCCCAGCTAACAGTGCTGTATAACTGCTTCTTAGGTCAGGAGTTGTGATTGACAGGATGATAGATTTTCACGCCTTTTTGTTAGGTACCCCAAATCAGAGAGGAAGTCCCTTCGATGCCAAATAAAGAACCCAACTTTTGTCATATGGTCACTACTTTAGACTTGCATTTGCTGCCAGTTTTCTTTGCAGGGCTGGATGGAGGTCTGTTCATCAGGAATGTTAAACACTGTGCTTTCTCTTTTCTGAAAAGTTGTAAAAAATATCGTAATCATCGTATTTCACCACAAGTAGCTGGGCAATATCTCTACAAGTAGCCCAAATACTTCATCCCACACCTGAGACATGGGATGCAACATTCGCTTACTTTTTATGGAGAAGCAACTTCATTAAGAGAAGCTAAACAACCATATCATTTACCCTTAAACACGTGTTAAGTATGTGTGATAGCAACACCCAGAGCTAGAAAAAATTATGAAGGAGCATATTTAGGGTGACAGGGTTATCAGCCTCATGACTCATGCATTCCTGATATCAAGCTTTGTTCCTCGATCAAGTCTTTCCATTTAATGTGTGCCCAGAATACTACAACAGTTGTTAAAACAATTAATAAATGCTTGTTCTATGTGTTTCTTAAGGAAGTACTCACCTTCCCAACAAGGGCTGGAATATTCATTGAGTTAGTTGCAAAGCCCATGCCAAACACCATAGCATCTTCCACACCAAGGAAGTTGGCTACGAGTTTCTCTAGTTCTACATGTTTGTCTAGGGTGCCTGCAGAAATAAGCATAAGGAATCTTAAATCTCATTAAACTGTGAAGGTTTTTAGTTCTAAGGACATAAAACATACAAAAGAACAGGCTAGAAATGTGTCATTAATCTAAATGACTTTAAGTTCTAATGAAGGTTTTCCATTTGTATCTTGTCCATGTGGGATAACACAAGAAAAAGCAAGAATGCAAACCAGCTATAACTAATGCTAACAAATACTGTTGCTGTTAAGGTAGCAAAGCAGTTGCTTTGGCAAAAAGTTTATTTTTTCCATAACAATAACTTTTGACATAGCTTATTCTAAAGAGTAATTTTTTGCCCTTTTCTCCCCCAACGAGGGCAAAAATACCTCCTTTTTATATGAAATGTAGGACAAACATCTTAGGCATTCTTGACATCTCTCTGGATGTGAAATAAAAAACCGATGACAACAAAATTCTTCCATTTTTTCTTGGGTGCCTATGTATGTGTACAAAATCCTTAATTATGATTTTATATGGACAGACAAACAAAAGTATTCTCCATATTTTTCTACTTTGGAAGGTAAAAGCTATGCCACTCTCCATAATTGATGACAAGTCTCCTCTTTCCTCCCTCTCAACAGTCAAACATCAATGATAACGCAACACTAGACAGCCTTCTTTATTGCACGTTACTGATCTAATATTAGTGCCTGGAGTCTCCAAACAAATAAGGTGCTACAACTATCCAACAAAAGCAATAACTTTCCCACCCAGCTCACAATGGAGGATGACAAAATACAAAAGGCAACAAAGGAAAGAGGGGTGTTAAGAGATTGAGATAACAAATAACTTTGAACAGCAATGAATCATCTCAACTTGCCAGCTTTCTAGTCTTTGGTTGCCTGGCTGTGCATTGCAGGTACCAAGGCAGAAGGAACTCTTACAGGATGATCTGTGGCGAAGAAAAGAGAGTGGCCTGTGGGTTCTGACAGAGCATTTCCCCTATGAATAAGGCTGTAAGCAGGGAAGAGAGGAAAAAAATTAGGGACATGAATATCTCACTTCACTTGCGCTGCACAAATTGATGCCACAATAATACAGGCAAAGTGAATTACAATTGACGGGAACAAGAAAGCTGTGTTCACTCTGATGGACAAAGGGCAGATGAATGGAGGAAAGCAGAAAGTTGGCTAGGTGTCTCAACAAGAATGATGAGTCAGGAAGGTGATTTTACCTTCAACATGAAGGAGAGTTTGTAAAAAAAGAATCAAATAAAAATGGCAACAGTACAGTTTCAGCAACAGCACTAACTCAGTTGGTGAGGTAGTGTTTTCTTATTTTTTCCTCATTGAATATCCAAAATAAGAATGGTATTCACTTGGAAACAGAATGTTTCCAAAAAAAAAACCAAAAAACCACGCAGGCAGGTAATAGCCTCTCTCCAATAGCCAGTGAGATAAAGAACAAGGATCACGTGGCTTCTGGAAAAAAATGGATTACACCGATAGTAAAGAACAGTGGTGCTGTGATTTTGCACAGAGCCTGCATGGATTCTGCTAGACCTGAGTCAACTCTGGCAGAGCTTCCAGAGTGTTTCTGCACTCACTGTATCACACTAGATGTACATTGAGCTGGGTTGTCTCTGGCTCTGTGCTCTGATAAGTTAAGTAACATGACGCAGAAAATTTGGCCCTGCAGAACCCTCAGTAGATGTGAGCTAACTCTTTGAGGATGGCTACTTTTTGCATTTGTAGATCCCAAGATACACAAGGATATGTGCTGGCTCTGCACATAGCCACTGCTTAGTAGCCAAGGTCTACAAAATATAAAACCACATATAGTGTTTCAGAGTTAAGTTGCTCACTGGAGATGTGTGTGAGAATTTATGTCTTAACTTGTAAGCCCAGTAGGTGTCAGGGTGCATTTCTATGGCTAGTTCTATATTTTTTGCATTTGGACCCAGTTAGTCTTCAACCTGGTTACACTCATTGATGACAGAGGGTTCCAGCATAGTCAGCTGCCTTAGTGTTCCTTGCAGATGTTATTTTCTCACTTAAGGGCTATCAGCACACAAAGAGAAGAGCTGAAGTCGGAAGCTTGAAGTCAACCACACTACAGTCACAGTTTGAATTAGAAAAAGGTTTGTGAAAGCACAAGAAACGAGCAGTGTGTGCTTTGCAAGGCAGGTATTTTAAGTCAGCATGAGCAAATCGTCCCCAACTCTTCCAGGGGTAAATCTGACACTACTGTGGTGGAGTTAAATTGCTTTTTGGGGTTGCATCATATGTTTCCTGTTTTCACAACCAAGAAAAGCCTGACTCACTATAGATTATTCTGTTCGAGAATCTATTGGATGAACCAGAAAGGAATAGAATATTTTTGACCTATTTCAATTGATTTTGTGATGGTGAAGAATGAGACATTCTGAAAGTGACCAATTCCTACTTACTATTTACTAATCCTAACAGTGAATGCAGATAATACTGTATATTGCTATTGCCTACAAATTCTGGGATACAAATTGGAATCAGTGGGAGTTTGGTTTGCAAAACCAAAAGCTGAATGATAAGGATTTGCAAAATGAACCCTAGTTCTGAATTACTACAACGGCAATATGGTAGGTGGTCAGTGAGGTACATACTGTGATGGGTTTATCCTTGGCTGGGAGCCAACCCCACACAATCCTGTTCACTCACCTTCCCCCCTTGTGAGTGATGGGCGAGAGAATTAAAGGGGTAAAGGAAAAAAAGGACTTGTGGATTGAGATAAGAACAATTTAATAACTAAACTACAATAATATTGAAAATAATACTATATACAAATATAAAAACAAGTGATACACAGTGATACTCTCACTGCCCAATGACCAAGGCTCAGCCTGTTCCTGGCTAATGATCTTGGAGCAGGGGGAGTCCCGAAACTGCACTCACGAAACGGAGATAACAGTCTTGAGTGTCCCAGACCGAGAGCTGATCGGGGGGAAGAGAAGGTCTTGGGAGAGGGACCACCTGGAGTGAGATGACCCAGAGCAAAAGAGATCCGGAACAAAAACGGACAAGCTTCCGGAGGGACCTTACCTATATACTAGGCATGACATGTATGTTATGGAATAGATTATTGGCCACTTTGGGACTCAATCCTGAACGTAAAATCAAATCCTGGGCTAGTACCTGGGGCTGTGCTCCCTCCCAGCTTCTCCTGTTTGCTGACAGCCAGAGAAGCTGAAAGACCTTGGCAGCCATGTAAACATCACATTTTATCAGCTTTCTTCTTAACACAAATCCAAAACACAGCCTCTTGCTAGCTATTATGAAGAAAGTTAACTCTGTCTCAGCTTAACCCAGGACAATATACACCATATAAACTGCACCAACTGTATAATTTCTCTCCACTGGAGAAAACGAGGGGTCAGATATGCTCTGCTGGAATGAGGCTTGTCCACTAGCCATCCCAGCTGGTCACAGCAACCAGCCCAACAAGCATAAACAGCACTACCAGACAGATGCAAATTTCATCCAAAGGAACTCCCACTGGCACAAGATGCTACATCTCAAGCTACGTACGAAAGGCAGTAATTACACTGATCTTCATTAAATACAACCTTACCAGTGTCAAGTCAAGTTACCATGGCCCTTAAAATGTCTTGTATTGTGCTGGATTCAGACAAGCATTATGATCAAGTAAATGAAAAGTGATATACTAGATATATTTTTATTCATACACTGTATATACAGATCCCTTCTATACTTGTCCTATATATAGACATGATAATTTTACCCCATACTCTAGTTGCTCTGATTTTTATGCTGACTACTGCTTGGTTTGACCTGAGAAATGAGGATACGACTAAATAATGTATGCCATCTTACTGGGAACGATTTAAGACAAGAAGTAAATGAGAAAGCTACCTGCATCTTTAAGAGACAAAATGGAATACTTTAGAAAGTTATTCCTGCCTGCTAAAAAAAAAGTACAGCAGGTGCTACTGTGCTTCAAGATTTTACAGGTATTATGAAAAGTAAAATCGAAGATCTTATCAAAAGTGGACTTTCACAATATTAGCCACCTCCATAGATTCCCACACTTTTCACAGCAAATCCTCTCCTTTTCAAAATCTGATGACCCAGTTCCCTCCATTAACTTGTGACTGCACTCTGGGGACAGGGAACATGAAGTATACTGTGCTTTGGCAGGCTTTCGTAGGCTTACCCGTGCTCCTCAGTTGAAAGTCATCGTCAGTCTACTAGACAGACAAAACTTGCAAATGCACTTCCCATGATCCACATAGCTCATTATTTAGCTTTGACACTTTCAGCTCGGACAAGGTGGTTTATGCCACTGGTTAGTCTGCACAATATGGTCTTTCAGGTTCTTAAGTGCTAATGACATGTACTGGTTAAACTGCCAACACTGGCAACAGTACCGTTTAATAGAACTTTTCATTTGGAATTCTGAGACCCAAAAAAGACAGGAAAGTACCTGCTAGCTTCAAGTTAAACAACAGCTGGAGGAGTAAACTGATATAAGCAACAAGTCACTGAAAGAAAAAGAACAGATTCCCATAAAAGCCACTTCCACATATGAACAGCAACTGGGAATCCTAGGGATCTCTGAGGTGACTCACAATGGTGAATAAGAACTACTACTCTATGAAAATGATGGTTTGTCAGAGGTATCCTTAGGAGGGCGGGGAACAGAACAAAACACCTAAACTTCTCTGACACATTTGAAACTTAAGGTCATGAACTCACCCTAGTAAGATATTTGTCAGAGATGAAATAATAATACTACTGAAACAGATACACACTTCTACAAAAGCAAGATTGGATGAGTTATTACTAGAAGGATGAAGAAGCAGAAGATGTAGAAAGTGTATCATTTATTTACACCATTCTGCAAGAGTGGATGATGCAGATGGTATCATTGTCCTACAGAGTCCACTACAAGAGCAAAGCCCAAGCTTGTAGAACGATACATATTGTCAGGAGAGAGGGAGAGAAGCAGTAATGTTACGTAGCTGCCTCATTTAACACTGTATGT